CGCTCTTCCACTGTGCTGTACGTATGCGCTTTTGTACGGCCCACTAGGACCAATGCTCTTACACGGGTGTCAGCAGACAAGGGTTTGACCCAGGTTTTGTCTGTATATGTGATGCGCCTCTAATTATGTGTCACAGTTTTGCATCTTTTGTACACGATCTCAATAGAGCAAGGCTGATTAGAGTGAGGGACGAGGGGTATCAGAGTAAAAGGATGGGTATAAAACATGGAATGGGGAGTAGGATGGTTTGAGAGAAGGTATGGATGAGGGAAGGAGAAAGAGTGGGACTGGGAGAGTGTAGACAAAGAGCTTAGAGATGAAAGACTCTGACAGCTGATGGACTCTAACACTCCACGTGCAAGATGCTGATAATGGTGATATGAAAAAGAGAGTTTAGTAAGAGCCTGCCCACGCTGTGGTTCAAGTGTTTGTGAGAGAGCTGAAAAACTTGAACCTTTAGCTCAGAAGCATTTAAGGAGCTGTGACAGAGTGAATGAGCACTTCTGCCTACTTGTGTCCTTCAAATGGGTGGTAGCTCCCACCTCAACCGTTGCAGGCTCCTTCTCTGGGTGTCAATACTAATTCCAAAGGTTGCTGAAAAACATGGCTGCCAAAAGTATCTCCATCACCCCCCGCTTTCTTTGTATTGCCATCTCCGTGGACCCCCTGAATAGATTCTCACTGCATGAGGATTTGTGTTCTGTGACTTTTGATCACCAAAAATCAACATCGTGCTCCCAAGCAACCATCTGTCCCTGCTCCTGCCTAATCCCCCTTCAGCCACAACCCGTTCTGCGGGGTATCTGAACCCTCAGCAGCCTCAGCGGCACCCACCAGCACCGCTGCTGTTTCCTGGACCGCATTTCTGCTGCCTGACGTATCGCTCTGTGCATCACGGGTACATTTCATAATTTTTCCTTTAACACCTTTACCTCACTCAGCCTCTGCAGCTCCCTGCGACCCAGTGTCTTTCGTCAGTTCCCATCCTCCAATCCGTCCTCTGCCAACACCACCAACCTTCGTATCTTTTTCATCTTGTCCCACAAGGCATTTCTGTGCCTTCTCTGCAGCCTGTTATGCTTGGGAAAAAAAATCTGTTCATCGCACCTCCACCCTCATCTCATTGAAATTAGTGCTAAAAACTCAGTTTCGCTGTGAAACCCTGGAAAAATGAGAAGGAGGACTGGTAACAGAAATCAGACAAGAATCTCCTGATCTTGCCCTGATAGCAGCAGCATCAATTTGTGTCTGTGGCTTAGCAGATCCCTTCATGATCTTTCAGTTGTCACCTTCATTCTTCCTTTTCCTTCCCCATCTGTTTTTGGTCCTCCATTCCTAGTTCATGCTGAATATAAATCACACTCCTTCAGCAGAGAAACCATGTTTTTCCATTTATTTTGAACAGCACAGCACATTTCTGATTTTTTTTTTTTTATATTTGAAGCATGAAAATAATTGTTAATAATCTTGAAGATGGAATACATTCCAAGTTGGTGACATCTCCCAAGGAAAACACTCCTTTTATATGAAAAAATGTAGAGGGTGGGGAGTGAGACGACACAAGATTTAAACACACTGCCATAACGAGGAGTGTGGGAGATGAAATGCTATATAGCCAAACACACGTAGTATGAACTAAGAATTGTTGAAAACGGTGGCAGTAACGAAGATGCTATGAGTGAGCCGTAATCTATAAAAGCGCAGCTCGGAGAGCATTGGCCCAATCTTTATTCCTTATCACAGAGCTTGCAGTTGCTTTCTCTCAGCACAAATAGCATTTTTTCATCTAGAAAATCCCATTCTAGGCTTCCTCTCTTTGTTCACTTGTTACCAAATTAAGATCCTATTAAACTGCACACCTGCAGTGGGTTTATCTGCAGAGCACCGTGCTGTAGCTTTTAATCCAATTCCACACCTTGGTAACATACAATACACTGCAAATCAGGGCGTGGAGAGACTGAGGTTACGCTGTTCGTAGCTCTGTTGGCAGAGAGCAAATCAAACACTTTGATTTGTTAAAAAGGGAGAAAAAATAAGGGCATAGTTAACCACTTCACTTAAAGGAACGATAAGTGTTCATCTGAGTGGTCTGTATAATCCAGGATAGAGATCAAGTGAAATCATTAACTAAAATGATCAAAAAAACGAGAGTAAAATCTTGACCCTGCTTAAAATCTGTGGCAAAACTTCTGCTGATTTTAAGAAAGCCAGGATTTCAGCATGTAAAAGCAGTCTCCATCAGGGGGAGAGACAGCCTGAGACTATGTTTTGAAAAAGAATAGAAGAGCTTATAGCAGACATATAAAGTGTGAATGATGCATTAAAAAGTGGATGTTGCCTCCTATCAGACCTTTGCCACCCTATGAGGAAACCCAATGCATATCTCCTCTGTTGGGTTAATTGATGTAAAATAAGGTTGGGCATCAGCAAAATACCTCGGGTTCAGCTTTTTTCAGCAGAAAAGAACAGAGAAAACTTTTTTTTATTCAATGAAGGGAGAAACAAATGATTTGCAGTCCCTACAGTCAAAACATTGCTGTGTTTCTTTTCTAATTTTCAGCTCATCCAGCTCATTTTGAAAGAAAATTGCTAAAACTTTTACTAAGTTAGATCTTCCAGTCCGAAGGGAAGCACTTCTTACTCAAATAGATGGACAGACACGCTTTATTTTTGCCTCTGATGAACAGCAAATCTTCAGAGAAAACCAGCCTGGTGTGAAAATTCTTTATGCTAAACCATTCCTACTTTTGGTACCACTTTAAGAAATACTATTTTCATTCTCTTAAATGTAAGATTGTTTTTCTGGAAGTACTAAATGTTAGCAACGCAGTTATTTTAAGTTGTCACATGATTTGGTTGTTCAACTTTAGTTGAATAAATCTTCAGAAGAAAAATGTGAAATATTTGTGGTCTGTTTCTATCTATTTCTTGTATTTTCTCCTGTCAGTAGAGCTGAAGGCCTACCTGAAATCATTGCGGTAAATTTATCTGGAAGCTACAGAATAGATGAGACTGTGTCAATGCTGCTTTGTGTCTACAGTGCGTAATTTAAAATTGGTATTTATTGCATATAGAATTCAGCACTAATTCTGATGTCTTGAAAAATTCCTGCTTTGTTTCTCATTTCTGCAGAATACCAGAGTCAATATCTCACATATAATTCTAGTAACTGAAATAAAATAGATCGTATATAATGTTATTGATTTATGTCAGAAACTAGGTTGTTTGAACTTGTGTTATAAGCAAAGTACAAGAAAAGACTCTATAAAGAGAAACCCTGGTATAAATTTGTATGAAATAGTAAATACAGAGTGTGAAATTTTTGTCTTGCATGCATCAGATTGCATGAGAAAATTCCCAGGGAATTTGGGGTTTAAAATATTTTTTAAGAGCTTGTCTCCAGGGAGTTGACTGGGCCTGGTCGTTATTTCAAGAAGGGACAACTGTTTCATTATTTTAAGAAGGGATATTTCTTGAACTAGAGAAAAACACTTGTCAGGAGCTTATCAAGCTTTTGCTCATTTTTGGTTTTGGAAATCTACATTTATTTTCCACTCATCTACATTCTTCTGTCTCAGCTCAAGCACTGAAGTGGGAATCAAGACTCAAAAGGGTGGTATTACAGCAGATGTAGACAGGGCCATGTGCTAAAGGAAAAGCTAGTCCTGAATTTGATTTTGCTGATAAGATTAAGAGTCCGGTGGCAAAATTACATATTCTGGGGAAGTACCTT